GGAGTGTTGGCGACATTTAAGTGAGGCCATGTTTAGCCTCCATATTTGCCAGGGATTAGTCGGGCTTTGGCCCGGACACCCTTAAAAAAAAAAAAAAAAAACATCCCAGGCCAACCGTACCATATATTCTCCGCTTTGTCCCCACATCTAGACTCACACTTTTAAAACGTGTCTGGTAGAGTCGGTATCCAGTCCCTTATTATACGGCAACCTTAGTTCCCCTCCCAACCGATGTGGGATCTTACAATCCATCCCCTTGGGAGCCCGGCTTCCTCGCTGGCACACGATATCATCTGTATCAGATATTGTCCGCTTTGTCCAGACACCTGACAGGCGTGTTTTAAAACCTTAAGTCCAGGTGTGTGGACAAAGCAGACAATATCTGGTACGGTTGACCTGGGATGTTACATTGCTCATCTGAAAGATTTCTTGCTTAAAATGGAAAGTTTGGTTGCTAACAGGGCTTCCTCCATCGCCACCTTCCCGATCTTCGGGCAATGGAATGAGCGGTGACCCATACGGTCATGGCAACAATGGAAGGGACGTAAAGCCTTTGGGAGTCGATGTGAGTAAGCAGAGGCGTAACAACAAGCTAAATGGCGGCATTATTGCTATAATAGCTTTGTCAGTTGTTGTGGCCGTGGTTCTTGTCGGTGTCACGGTTTGGGTTCTGCTGTTTAAACGCCCTGTTGGGGCTCAGTCGGGCTCAATTCTGCCAGCTACTTTTCCTCCCGTCACAAAATCGTCAGGTAATTATTCGAAAGGTCGTTCCTTTAGTTTATAGATTTTATTTGTATATTTTGGATAAAAAAACATGTACATATTGCAGGTGTGGGTGGATCGATGACGGGAAGTGGGCCCGAGTCGGCTTCACTATCATTCCGGTCTAGTATAGCATACACGGGATCTGCAAAAACGTTTAGTTCGAGTGATATGGAAAAAGCAACCGATAACTTCAATGAGTCGGGGGTTCTTGGTGAAGGTGGATTTGGGCGTGTTTATAGCGGCGTGCTTGACGATGGGACAAAAGTGGCGGTCAAAGTACTTAAGCGAGATGATCAACAGGGCGGTCGTGAATTCTTGGCGGAAGTCGAGATGCTTAGTCGCCTGCACCACCGAAATTTGGTCCGGTTGATTGGTATATGTACGGAGGAAAGAAACCGGTGCTTGGTTTACGAGCTCATCCCAAATGGCAGCGTTGAATCTCATCTACACGGTAATTACTACAAGATGTTTTAAGATTATCTGCTACAACAGGACCGGCTTTATAGGACGCCAAATATGTTTAAATGTCCTAATAGACTGCTTTATAGGACTTAAGTTTTTAGGACCAAACAATTGCGTTACAACAAAATTGATTTTATAGGATGCTTAAAATGTGGAAGGGTCCAAAAAAACACTTTATAGGACCAAACCAAAAAGCATCCTATCTAAAAGTTTTACAGTAGTAGGTTTATAGGATGCTTTTAGGCGTTTTAACAAGTTTTTTAGAACGCTTATAAAATGAAGTGTCATATTAAGTATTTTATACGACACTATTTGAAAAAGAGTCATAAATACAAGTGTCCTATAAAAAGATGAGATCATAGGAGACTTCTCAAAAGTGTCCTATAAAATAGCTAATAGGACACTCTATTTTAAAAGCGTCCTAAAAAACTTGTTAAAACGTCTAAAAGTGATCAATAAACCTATTGTAACGTTTTTAGATAGGACGTTTTATAGTTTGGTCCTATAAACCTAAGTTCGATAAAGTATTCTATTAAGATACTTTTAAAAGCCATTCACCAAACGCTTACCCGGGTAAGTGCTTATCGGCAACATTCAACACTATCACTTAACTACCGGGTAAGATTTTAATCTACCAAAACTGTATCTTATGCAACAATTTACCCGGTAAGTATTTACCGTGGTAAGAGCCGTCGCCCTCACTTACCAGGTAAGACTCTCGGTCCTTGCCTTCGCTCTTACCGGGTAAGATTCTTCATATACATCCGGTAAGGTAATGTGATTTGGCAAGCGCTTACCCGGGTAAGCGTTTGGTAGACGGCCCCTTAGACAATCTAGGCGTCCTATAAAGCTGATTTTGTTGTAGTGATCTTTACGTGTTTTTATATGTTTTTTTTCGTGCTTTATTGTTGGTTTATGAAGATGGTTCGTTTTTGAGTGAAAATTTGGTTGGTCAGGAGTCGACAAGGAAACCGCACCGCTCGATTGGGGGGGTCGGTTGAAGATAGCTCTGGGTGCGGCTCGAGGACTAGCTTACTTGCATGAAGACTCAAGCCCAAGAGTCATACATAGAGACTTTAAGTCAAGCAACATTCTTTTGGAACATGACTTCACCCCTAAAGTTTCCGATTTTGGTTTGGCTCGAACCGCTTTAGATGAAGAAAACCGGCACATTTCGACTCGTGTCATGGGCACCTTCGGGTACATCCTTTTCCTACCACTATTTGGTCCTATAAACCTAAGTCCTATAAAGCAGTCTATTAGGACATTTAGACATATTTGGCGTTCAATAAAGCCGATTTTGTTGTAGTGTGCAAAGTGAATACTCTACGGTTTTACCGTCGAGGTCAAATCAGCTAATCTTTATATCTTTCTTGGTTTTTTTATCCATGTGAAACTAGATATGTGGCTCCCGAGTATGCGATGACTGGCCATCTTCTTGTGAAGAGCGACGTTTATAGCTACGGAGTCGTGCTCCTCGAGCTCTTGAGCGGAAGAAAGCCCGTCGACATGTCGATGCCACCGGGGCAAGAAAACCTAGTTGCGTGGGCCCGTCCCCTCCTCCCGACTCCCGAAGGCTTAAACTTGCTTATCGATCCATCACTGTCCCCGGAAGTTCCGTTCGACAGTATAGCTAAAGTATCGGCGATCGCTTCGATGTGCGTGCAGCCGGAGGTATCGCACCGGCCGTTCATGGGCGAGGTGGTCCAGGCATTGAAGTTGGTGTGCAACGAGTGCGAAGAAACACGAGATCTCGGCTCGAGGAGTTGTAGCCAAGAGGATCTGACGTCCGTAGACTTTGACCCTCGGGTCAGCACAAACTCGGGCCCGACCCGGTCCGCCTATCCGAGCTACGAGTCTCCATTAGATGTGGAGAGCGGGTTTTCGACCTCGGGTCTCGGGCTAGATGTAGATTCGTATAGGATGACCTCGAGTTCGGGCCCGTTGAGGCCACGGAGACGGCCGCAGTTGTGGGAAAGAATGAAGAGATTTTCAAGTGGCAGTTTAAGCGATTACGGAGACTTTTTGAGGTTATTATCTCGATCGCGTTGACTTTTCTCGAGTTCATGTTGACCCATTAATTCGATGATCGGGCCGTCATGGGTCGACCCGTAAATCGCTGCTTGAAATGTACAGATAGAATTGTTACATTGTACTGGGAATGTATTTCCTTGGTATAGTTGTAAATACAGAGCAGCTGCAAAACTTTTTGAACGCACCATTGTAATTTTCAAGACTTGAGGGGGTCATCAGGCAATTTCGGATAACTTCGGGTGCATAATTGTAATATTGTAATTCAGAATGGGCAAGATCGGTCCTTCTACTTTTTTGTAATGAAAAATAACAACCTACTTTTGATTATTTTTCTCTTTTAGGCAACTAATCAAGGGTCCTGAGTCATGATTTGGCAAATTTGAGGGTACAAATGCAAATTTTAAAACTTGATGGCCAAAATTAAAAACATTGGACTTATTTTTACTTCTTTTCAAAATCACCCCAAATCAACTTGATTTTAACAAGCTTCTATATCGAAATTGATATAGTATTAACGTTTTATATAATTATTGAATGACCGTTTTATCGATGAATTGAATATCGACTCATTTTGAGGTTTCTAAAATGTTTTGGATAAAATGAACGATCATGGAATCATTAAAAACTCAGATAAATCTCAATTAACTCATATCGAGTTATAACAGGTATGATATAATAAATCGAAAAGCAAAATCGAGTTTAACACTTAAAATTCGGTGAAATTCGAATCCAATACTTAACTTTAAACTCTGGTTTCTTTATCAAAAACTTACTGGTTTTAAAGTAAATTTATAGAGTTTTGAATCGAAATTACACTTTTCATCTTTACAGTTTCGAAATTACAAGAAAGTGATCGTGGTATGCAAAAACGTTTGGATTTGATCTCTTTCCTCTTAACGGCTGGTAAAAGATCCATTAAATGTGCGACAATTTCATTCGTTTATCGATTTTTTTTGTTTTTTTCCCAATCAAAAACCACTTTGACCAAAAATCTTAAAATTGATTTTGATTGGATAAAGGACAAAAAAATCGATAATAGAACGAAAATGCTTCACATTTTACGGAATTTTTTAGTGACTGTTAGACGAAAGGTTCAAATCTGGACATTTTTGTAAATCACGATAGTCATCTTGTAATTTTAAAACTACATGGACAAAAATTATTATTTTCAACAAACCACAGGGACCAAATTTGTAGTTTACTACATAATTAAATGTCATACAAATTATAAAAAGAAAAAAGTTTTCCTAATGGGTTGTTTGGCAATTGCTGAATGGTTTGGTGTAGAATGATTAAGTGATCAGAATAATTAAAAGACTATCATGATATAGTGTAAAATGAAATATAATTGTTTGGTAATTGTGTACAATAAAATTAGGGCTCTTAATGGTTAAGAAAGATTCAGGATACAAAATCATTTAAAAGGTTTTAGAACCATTAAGAGGTAGATTTTTTTTTGCCAAACAATATTCATCTCTTAACGATTCAGAAGTTACATCTTAATAGAACTATTAAGAGATAAACAAACAACCCCTAAAAGGCTTTTAGTTCAGGGGGTTTGTTAATAATTTTTGTTTTTGTCCCTGTGGTTTAGAAATTATAATTTTTGTTTCTATGCTTTACAATTTATTGCTATTTTTGTTCGTGAATTAATTTATACCTTTTAAGTAACCACAAGGACTAAAAATGTAATAAATTTTAAATCACAAAGACCGAAATAACAATAAATTATAAACTACATGGATAAAAAATGCAATTTCTAAACCACAGGGATAAAAGGTGCAGTTTTTGACAAAACCAGGGACTAAAAAAGTAATTTACTCGTGACAAAAATATCGAATTAATCCCTTCCCTCCCTGCTGGCCGTTTAGGTCATCCTCTTTTCCCCGCGCCACCATCAGCTGTTCACTGTAATCCCTCCTCCGACCTCCTTCTCCGCCACCGCCGCCGTATCAGCTCGCATACCCTCACGACGGTCGCTGAATCCACCGCCGCTTGCCGCCTGCTGTCTGATTGAATTTCATTGGACCATGGAGATACAGGTACAAATATCTCAGAAAGTTCCTGACGTTCATCGTCTTTGATTCATCCATTTGTGTTTAATACGCATGTAAATTGTAGTTTTTTTCCTTGTAAATTATGTACTAAATTATTGTTACATATACAATTTTTTTAGTTGCTTCCTCCTTTTTGGTTATATTAATTGATATGAGTAGAAATTTGTAGTATGAATTCGATCTACTTAGAAATGCGGATAATTTTTTGCTTTCAGGATATTTCGGATGACATTGATGTCAAAGTAAAAAAGTACCAGAGAGGTGAAGGTGCTGATTTGGAGGTACCAGTTGAATAACTGATGATTGATACTAACAATATTTTTAACTTTGTTTAAGTTGCAATGTGAATCTTTTCTCATTTTTTGTAGGCATTGAAAGACAAAAAGTTGAAAGGCCAGCTTGCTAATAGAGAAGAATTATATAAAAAGTCTGCTAATGCTGCTGCTAAAGCTGAGAAGGTCAATTCCTAGCATTTTAATTGTTGTATGACACTTTTGGTTTTCTTCAATGTGCTGGTATATTCTTTTCTAATTTCCATATATGAAAGCTAGGTATCTTCAAGGATATATAGTAATGAAATCTCATTGTTTAGGTAAATGAGAGGAAGTGGAGTAAACTTTGATGTTATGCTTTCAGGGAACTGAATATAGGGTTGTATTGGGCAAATTGTTTTCTATGTTTCTAATAAGTTCATTAATGATGATTCATGGTGTTCTGGTATGCTCATTGAAGTATAATTGCTGGTTACTTGTCAATCAACTTAATAGTATTAGATCTCTTGCAGTGTGATTTACTGTTAGTAAAAGACTCGATGCTAATCAGAATGAACATTCCCGAGTTGATCACTGGCCTGTGCATATGTAATCAGATGGTGGAAGAATGAGAAAGCAGCATTTACCTTTTAACTTAAATTGAGCTGTAGGGTGTTACCTGTTTAGGTACTTAAATGGAAAATAAGTATGCATTCTAATATATACCTCTACTTATAGGAGTGAGGACTTATTTTTCTATTTGATGTCATCAGCTGCACAAAGCATCTACATGGTGCTCATTGCTTTTGAGTAAAAGTGTATGCTACCAAAGGGTTATTGGCCCAATGGTACTTGGATTATAGGTAGAGCCCAACCTCCGAGGAGGTCAAGGGTTTAAACCTCACCAAAGGCAAGGAGTGTGCTTGGGTATTGGCTTACTGCCATATATGTACTTTAAAAAGTGTCTGCTACAACAAGCGCCTCAGGATGGAGGAAGCATTTGTATATCATGTGTGTGTGTCCGTATTTACACATTCATATGATTTTTTTCCGGTTCAGTGGCTTATGCAAACTGAGGCTGGCCGTCTAGAATCTGAAGGCTTTGAAAAGACGTGGAGATTCAGTCAACAGTCAATTGCACAGGAAGTGGATGTTTCTAGTAGAAAGAATCAATTTGATCTTGTCTTACCAGGTTTGAGCCTGCACTCCTTTTGTTACGAATATGATGCTTAAGTAGTAAAAAACTTCTCCAATAATATTTTATGTGTTGACGACCTATCCCATGTTAATGGCTATTCGAAGTAGGGGTGTTGTTTTATACAGAAAATTTGAAGAAATAGGATGAAAGGGAGATAGAAACACCAGAATTTGAAACTGTTCTTTAAGAGAATGAGTCTACCCATAGAGAGCAAACAACGAATCCTCCTAGAGGCTTACCTATAAAATGTTCACTTTTGTGATGATTTCAGCATCTTATGTTCATACTTACATAGGCTTTATCTTTTCTCAGATCATTACTAATTTATATGTTTAATGTGCTTGAACAGATCTTGGTCCTTACACTATTGATTACACCTCAAGTGGCCGATATATGGTGACGGCAGGACGCAAAGGGCATCTGGCGATTATGGACTTGCATACTATGAAACCTGTTAAAGACTTTCAGGTACAATAGATTCAATAGTTCAGTCTTTTTCTATTATGAGATTCTGACACGTGGACCTTCATTTATTGATCTCTTGTACTAATGATAAGTTTGGATTCCATTTCTGAGACATTTCTGGCTTCTTGTAATCTTGTTCAGGTTAACCTTAAAACATCTCTTTTTACACATAGTGCATGACAGTAACATAGTTCAACATGCTCAAAGAAGTTAGGATCAATTTATTTGTCATTTTCCTCACTCTTTCGTGGGATGCATCAATTTTTCTCATATCAATTAGAGACAAAAAAGCTTATCTTTATTCTTCTCATACCTTGTAAATACGACCACACCATGAAATATTGAATGACCAAGACAAATAGGATCCTATGTTTGGATTTTGAATGTTTTTAAAGTATTCCTTCATTTTAGAATCAAGTCGGCATTTTTCTTTCTGGATCATTGTTCTTTTCTACCTATTTATGTTGATACACTTTCCTTTCTAAAATAATGATGCATATTTTTTTCCAGGGGCGACAATGAAGGATCTTTCTTTATAGGAAATAAACAACTTATTCTACCTTTACCGTCACTAATTGCTCTGCAGTTTTTAGTTCTCTGTTTACCTCCTAATTAGGTTGTTAACTTGCACCATTGAAAACTTTATAATCACCATCATTTATTTTCAGGAAAAAGTACTATGAATTGTTTACTCCTTCCATCACAAAGTATCCATATTTCTATTAGTTTGTCGCAAAATAAGTGTGTACTTTCAAAAATAAGTACCTACTTTCCAAATTCCAATTCAACCCTTAATTATGAGATGGAGAAATTTATTATTTTCTCTACTATTAACGGTAAAATCGTCATTTAGTTAATTAAGAAGTGAAATAATTACACATTTCTTAAACTATGTGCCTTTGTCATTGTGAACATTTATTTTGGGACGAAGGGAGTATTATAGGACGGACAAAAGTATATAGTTGCATGCATCATCAGCTTATTTCTAAATTTAAGGTTCTTATCATTGTTGGCTATACAACCTTGAACTACATAATTCTTTGCTACTAGATGAAAAATTGAGTTCTTGATTATCGCAGGTTAGAGAAACTGTGCGCGATGTGGTGTTTTTGCACAATGAAACGTTTTTTGCGGCTGCGCAAAAGAAGTAAGATCCCTTTTTTTGTGGAAGTTCTACCTTCTTTATGTATCAACTATATACTGTAAATACAATATGATTATTTTCAAACTGTATACAGGTACACATATATATACAACAACGCTGGCACAGAACTTCACTGTCTGAAGGTTAGTCACTCCATTTAAACGTTGAACTTTCAATTTGAAGGGATTGGTTTTCGACACATAAATTCATGGGTGCTCTAAATTTTTACGAAAATTTGTTCCCTGCTTTATACTTTGTTACAAAACTAAAAATAGAAAAAATGTTGGCTCAACAAAATCAATGTCGGTGTAGAATTTGGGTGTCGTATTTTGGACATTGGCCATGTTTGGCAACCATAAGCTAGCTTATTTTTTGAGCTTATTGAAAAAGCCTCGTTTGGTTAGCCATAAACTAGTTTATTTTTAGAGCTTATCGAATAAGCCCCATTTGGTCGGCCATAAACTAGCTTATAAGCTAGCTTTTTAAAAGCTGCTTGAAGTAATGTTTCAATAAGCTGTAGGATCTCTTTTTCCACCTTTTTTCCAATTATGCCCCTTATATTTTTCCAATAAAGTTTTTAACATGTTTTTTAAAATCATTTTACATTGTCATCTAGCTTCTCTGTTAGTTTGTACTTTCAGTCAACGACTAGCTTTTCAACTAACAACTAATTTGCCAAACGTAGCCATTCAATACTTGTCCTTCTTAATAATCTTGGACTGTTTTTGCCCTTCAGGAACATGGAGCTGTGTTGAAGCTTCAGTTTCTCAAGAACCACTTCCTTTTGTCATCCATAAACAAATTCGGCCATCTTCATTATCAAGATATCACTACTGGCCAGATGGTAGGAAATTACCGTTCTGGCCTTGGCCGTTCAGATGTTTTGCAAGTGAACCCATATAACAGTGTCGTCGCCTCAGGCCATTCTGGTGGTACAATCAGCATGTGGAAGCCCACTAGCGCTGCGCCACTTGTCAAGATGCTGTGTCACCATGGGCCCGTCACAGCCATCGCTTTCCACCCGAACGGCCATCTCATGGCCACGGCTGGCATGGACAAGAAACTCAAGATTTGGGATTTAAGGAAATACGAGGTTTTACAAACACTCCCCGGCCATGCCAAATCATTAGATTTCAGCCAAAAAGGTCTACTTGCATCCTCGACAGGATCATTCGTCCAAATCTTGGCAAACTCCTCGGATTCCCAGAATTATGATCGATACATGATCCACACGATGGTAAAAGGTTACCAGATTCAGAAATGTTTGTTTCGACCGTATGAAGATGTTCTGGGAATCGGACACTCGATGGGTTTGTCGTCCATTCTCGTTCCTGGATCCGGGGAGCCCAATTTCGACTCATGGGTTGCGAATCCATTCGAAACATTAAAACAAAGAAGAGAAAAGGAAGTGCGACTTCTTCTCGACAAACTCCCGCCGGAATCCATCATTATGGACCCCACAAAGATCGGTACTTTGAGGACTTCAAACAAGATTCAAAAGGCGACGAAAGAGGAGAAGGAGGCGGAGAAGGCGGCGGCCATTGCTGCCGCCAAGAGCGGACCTCAAAAGAAGAAGACGAAAGGGAGGAGTAAGCCGAGTAAAGTGGCGAAAAAGAAGCAAGAAGGAGTGGAGAAAGCCAAAAGGCCATTTGCAGAGGAAAACAAGCATGCAGAAATGGTGGTTTCTAAGAAGAAGCAAAAGAGAATTACAGAAGCAAATGAACTACCAAAATCTCTTCAGCCATTTGTTAGCAGAAAAGCAGGTTAAGCTCCATATGATCATTTACCAGTTTGTTTGGTTTACAATTTTGTGAGGCTAATTAGTTATGTAACCTTAAACTGAGTTTTTAAATTGGACTTGATTCGAGTTTGGCTCGAGTCGTGACTCGGTTCGGTCGAGCATTCAAACGGTAACATGAGAACTTTTTTTTTGAAAGACCCGATTGGCCCAGTCAAGGTGACTATAGTTCCGTTGCTCGACTGGACTGGGTCCGATCTAGTCTTGATTGAATCCGGTCGAGTAAAAAAACGTCAACATGCAAAGAAAGCGCGTCGTCAAAGAAATATTTCATTTTTGTCGTGTAGATTGTTTGGGTCGTTTCATTAAATGCTCTTAAAACACTGAATCAGGGGTGGACATATGAAGGACTAGGAGGCATATAGGTCGGCCCTAGCTTATTTGATTTGTTGTAGTGTCCACCAACGCTACATCTCACATTTCTGTACATGCTTGTGGGTTATAGATTGGACACATGTTGCATTTCATTGATACGGAAGTATATGCGTCTACGAACTCGTTTCGTTCCATCAAATGAGATTCGTTTCAAATCGGTACTTGGTTCTATTAGTAAAATTTTGTTCTCTTATTTGCTCGATAGCATATGGTTAGTTTTTGCAAGTTTGTACTACCCTCTTTTGTTTTATATATGAAGAGAGAATTGGTTCACATGAAACCAGTCTGATTTCGTGAGTCCTGCGAGAACATATAAATGAGACTAAACCTTTACAATAAAACATTGTGAAGGCAAACCTTCACAATGGTTTTGTTGTGAAGGTTCGACGTGTTTTTGTATCTTTACAATGTTTTATTGTGAAGTTTCAATGTAATTTTGTGGTCTCACTCTATATATATATATATATATAGGGTTGGGTTCACGTGAGACCAGCCTGTTTTCGTGAGACCCGTGAGACCATATTTTTACACGTAAACTTCACAGCAAAAACRCTGTGAAGGTTTAAAAAAAGTCGAACCTTCACAGCAAAAACACTGTGAAGGTTTTAAAAAGTYACCTTCASAGCATTTTGCTGTGAAGTTTCAAGTGTAAAATGTTGGTCTCACGGGTCTCACGAAAATAGGTTGGTCTCACATGATCCCAAGTCTATATATATATATATATTTGTGCGCTGTTCTATTATTTGCCGGTGCGATTGCTAAATCTGCACAATTTCCCCCTCGCCCACAACCGGCCCAAAAGGGAAGGGCCTTTCCCTTTGGGGTAGGAAAATCATGATCGGGATAGCGGACCAAAAGCTATGGACAATGGACAATTATCTCATTTGGAAACATATCTGGGCGGGATTAATTATATATATATATTTTTTCACATTTGTACAACCAAAGCAACCAGTAAATTGATATGTTTATGGAAATTTGCATTTAACTTGTGAAACTTATATCTCATTGTAAAAAAAGACCAGTATGGTTATATATATACTAGAATGGATTGTGCGAGATACATCTTGATTTTAATATTTTACTTTATTCTTTATCTCAATCGATGTTATAATATGGTCTTATGTGATTTTGAAAAAACGATGATATTTTTATTTTTGAATAAAATATAAATTTGAAGATATCATAAAAATTTGACAAAATTATATCGACATTAGTATCAAATTAACTATTCAAAATTTCTCATTTTTTGTATAATTTTTTAATTCAAATTTAATTTAAGTTCAATAACGAAGTAATTTATACTTGGTTTAGTAATATAATTTTCTTATAACGATAATAGTTAATTATTTTGTTAGAACTCAATAATTATCCTAATTATATTTTAGATTTTTTATATATTTAAAATGAGATATTTATCCTCTTTTTGATTATGTTTATCCGCAGTTAGTTACACGAATTCAAACATGGAACTTTAAGAAGTTGTACTTATGCATAATTTAATTGTAATCTTGAATTTTAAGTAATATGCATCAATATATAATATTTCATGCATAAAAAAATAATTTTTAAGAATTTTTATCAAATGCTTTATAATATAGTATATATATATATAACAACCATTGTCTTTATAGTAATGACCATCAACCAGAACATAAAAATGCTGTTTATTGTATGCCTACACTTTCACAAATTGCCAACAAAAATCAGAACTAACAAAACTTTGCTCAACTAGTTTTCACCACCAGAAATAAATGACCGGTTTTCGAACTTCGATTCTTTCTTGCTCAAACGGAACCATGTAAAGGGTACCCGAAATCAAACAAAACTGAAGACGGAGGGAGAGTCATCACGTCATTTTACTTTGAATTTGTCGATGAACATGTACTAGGAACTCGACGTATGACAGACCATTCGAAGACTTGTCTTCCACCATATAAGAGAAGAACATCATTCCTGTAAAACAAACCAATATCATCACTCTCATTATCTTTCAATCTCAAAATTTTCTATACCTTTTATCTTTGTTTAAGGGTATTTTAGACATTTAACAAAGATCAAAATGCATCAAAACGTAATGAAGTTTTCTTCTCAAGATTTTCTTTATCTTTATCTTTGTTGAAGGTATTTTAGACGTTCAACAAAGAGCAAAATGCATCAAAAATAACGAAGTTTTCTTCTCAAGATTTTCTTAATCTTTTATCTTTGTTGAAGGGTATATTAGACATTTAACCAAGAGCCAGATGCATCAAATGTAATGAAGTTTTCTTCTCAAGATTTTCTTCCTCTTTTTATCTTTGTTGAAGGGTATTTTAGACATTTAACCTAGAGCAAAATGCATCAAAATGTAATGAAGTTTTCTTCTCAAGGTTTTCTTTATATTGTATCTTTGTTGAAGGGTATCTTAGACATATAACAAAGAGCAAAATGCATCAAAATATAAAGAAGTTTGCCTTAGTTCCTATTTAGTGTAACAGACATTCAATTCTTCCAGTTTTGTGCCCATTTGGCCTCATAAAAGGGTTTACAACCTTCATTTGGTTGGTTTTGATGCAACATTCTTCCACGTAATCAAGAATTTGCGACAAGTAGTCACAAGATCTACGAGTTGGCGGTCAAAATGGATATAAAATAGAAAGAAGAGAATGTTTGTTACACTAATTTAGACATCCTTACATTAAATAGAAACTAAAGCAACTTTTTGTTTGCATTTTGATTTTTGACGCATTTACACATCAAACGTTGTAGTTTTCAACATCCCATCTGCCCCAGAATCGATTCCAGGCGTCCACACAATAATTTTAACTACTGAGTTTATCAAGGCTGATGTCTTACAATGGCAACTTGCCGGGATTAGACTAGCATAGCTCAGGAAACCCTTCCAAATACATTTCTTGAAATTTCCGAAGTTAAAGCCTACCTATTTGCCCATATGGTATTGATTTTAAGTTCGCAATATTTTATTTATTATCTTTATCGGACGGTATTTAATATTCAGAAAATATTCGAATCAAATATTTCAAATTTTCACGTGGAGAAAGAATTACGACACGAATGTTCTGAAACTGACCTGATGGATCTCCTTTCTTGCATAATCTTAGCCTGCAAGTATAATGAGATCAAAAAACAAAAGAATACTGATATTCATATACGACGAAACTAATCCCAACCGATTAAAAAATAAACATATGCCACAAACATCACATACCTTAGGTAGTTACATCTTTGGCTTCGTATCTCATTCACAACCTCATGTAGCCTCTTTGACAACGGGTTGTCATATTGCTCCAACACAAACTAGATAGAAAAATACAAGTTAGAGCTTGTTTGTTAGCAGCTTAATGAGCTTAATGGGACTTGCAACTTATTTAGTTCTATCAGCTATGAATGATTGTTTGGTAGTGGCTTAATGATATAGAAAGTGGCTTGTTCAGTAAGCTTCTAGGGGGGAGCTTTCTGTAGAAAGCCAAGTTTTTTTTTTCGAAACCTGCCCCTCCCAATTAAAAAACACACTCCTTCCATGAAAATACCTCCCAACCAAAAACTTCCCCAATCTATATAGACATATCAATATACATAGACAACTTTATCCACACACAACTTAATGGAAAACCAACCAAAAAGCCCCTTAGGGCCTATTTGTTAACAACTTAATGAGCTTAATAGGACTCATAGCTTATTCGGTCGGCTATACATGACTGTTTGATAGTGGCTTAATAATATAGAAAGTGGCTTATTCAGTAAGCTTCTAGAGGGAACTTTATGCAAAAGGCCAAGTTTTTTTCCAAACATACCCCTCCCAATTCAAACCACTCACATTCCATCTATGAAAAAACATCCCAACCAAAAACCTTCCCAATCTATAGAGATTAATCCACACAGACAACTTTATCCATACAACACTTAATTGAAAACCAACCAAACAACCCCTCACTCATAGATGCTTGTTAGCTCATTTATAAGCCGACACATTGACAACGCAAAACATATAAACACAAAACTTAACGAAGAATAACCTTTTGACAAGATCTTTTTTAAATGCATGGCCATTTAACAGATATCGAGACATTCTTATGTTAGGAAGACATATTTTGCAAGAGTTATTTTAGCAAACTGCCATTTTAAAGCCATGAAACATTTAACTCAAGAAGCAAAATTTTGCAATAATCAAGTGTACCTGACTAGGGATTTCGCTAGCGGAAGAGATGCCAAACAGTTTTTGTGTTATATCAGGATCTACAGAGCTTCCGATGTAAATTAAGCAATCCTCGCCGTTTTCAAGAAGATAGATCCCATCATCACTTACGTGTTCACTAGAAAGTGGTATAGGAGAAGGAATAACGGATCCATCCATTTCCTGTAATCTCAAAAAGACCAAAACTCGTGTTAGATGTATGTATACAAAGAATATTTGAACATTTTGTGAACCGGGATTTTTCTATACCTTTGAGTTAAGGTCATGAATACTCATCATTCTCGGATATACAAGTGGGATCGCCAATTGAACAGAGAGCGCGGAGACATAGTTGATCCAAAATGATCGGTCATCTATACGCCCATCGGTTCGCAGTCCAATACTTTTAATCAAAGCTGAAATGGAGGACCAAATGGGTAAATAGCCTCATTCATATCATATAAGTACTTTGAACCCTTAATTAAATAGTTTTCTAGTGAATTACTTGCATCCACAACACTCTCCAATAGCTTCTTTATAATTTCTTCAAAATAGGGATAGAAAACACAAAATCTCCCAAAAAAAAATTGCATCTAACCCCAACTCCATTTTGGAGATCCTAGCATCAACTATAATTTTAAAATATTTAGTACATTTAATATCTCAATCAACTTTAAAGTTTAAAACAAACTTTTTAATAAAATATTCCGCCGTTCCAAAATTTGTGTCCATGCTTCTATTTTAGTTTGTCCCAAAATCAGTGTCCACTTTCAAAAGTAAGTGCCTACTTTCCAACTCTGCCCTTAATTATAAGATGGAAAATCCATCACCCCTCTCTACTATTAAGGGTAAAATTGTCATTAGTTAACTAAAAAGAGTAAAATATGTGTCCATACTTCTATTTTAGTTTGTCCCAAAATTAGTGTTCACTTTCCAATTCTACCCTTAATAATGATATGGAAAAATCCATTACTCCCTCTACAACTAAAGGTAAAATTGTCATTTAGTTAATTAAAAAGCGTAATAATTACACATTTCTAAAATTGTATGCCTTTTTCATTATGGAAATTTATTTTGGGACAGATAGAATATAAATTTTATGTTCTCTTCCTCCAAAACAAATAAAAAATAATCAAAGTATACCCTCTCCTCCAGATATGGAAAATCTCTCTTATCATTTCTCCATTTCGGAGGATGTCTAGGAGAGTCTATCGGAGCAAGAAAAACCTCAAAATCTATTTGTTTTTCCATTTTGGAGATTCCGTTGGAGATGCTCTTAAACAACTAGACGGAAATTAAAAAAGTGAACTCATGACTTGCAATGCTTTATATCAAAAAAAGAAAACATACCGAGAGTGTATAAAGGCAATAATTTGAGTGCTTCCGGAAGAATAAGCTGTCCCGATGATGACACAGTTGCACAAAATTTTCTATAAGAATGAAGAATGTTGATGCAAAGATCAGTCACCCGATCCCTCACTTGCAATAATGGGGCAGAAGAAATTTCATTTGCCGCTGCAACATACAGAAGACGGATCAGTCTCTACAGTATTTTACGAATATAAACACAGAGAACATTCAATTAAACAGGAGGGAAATCTTGAAGCAAAAGAATCAATTACCCTGCTTTAGAAAACATGAAAACTGGGTGTCGAGGTCAGCTGAGCGGAAAAGATTGCTCAGCATGGTTGTGCATGGCAACGACAAGGTGGAGACACGAATTCTTCTTTGCCCGTATATAGTAGTATAAAGAATCGCGCACTGGAATACACACAAGATTAGTTAGACAGCAAAAAAACAACTCTTTTGATTGTATACGAACAAGTACAGAGCTTAAGATACGTAAAACGAACTTAGCCAAGTCAATAAGGGTGCGTTTGGTACAATGTATAGAACAGAACACGGATCACCGTTTCACATTTGACAGGACTTTTATGTGGAACAGACATGAACGGAGTGGTACAGGCATGTTCCACCCCTACCACATGGAACAAGGTGAAAACATACCAAAATTTCACCTATATAACCTCAAAATAAAACCTAATTCTCTTCAAAAAAAAAAAACATCAAATACGCCTCTCTCTTTACATTTTATTTGTTTAGTGGCAAGAACTTTTTCTAGAGTCAAATGGCTCTTCAACTACATCAGATGCAGAATCTAGAGAGCTGTTGCCAGTTACGATAGAAAGAAGTAAGGTTTCGAACTTCCTTCTTTCTATGACCAGATCAGGAGCTGCATGATCCGATGAGCTATCAGCTGTCATTATTTAAAATTTATTTATTGTATTTTATACTATTTAAACTTTTATTTTACTGTTCTCAAAATATTATTTTTACATGGTTTCTATATTTTGATTAATTCATGTAATTTATTAAATATTAGTAAAAAAAATGTAATATAGAAATAGTATAAAATAAAAAATTGAAACTACATAAACTTTTTATTTTTGTGTCATTTTAATCGTCTTGACGAAACTTTTAATGATATATTTTGTGATAAAAAATATTTATTTTATTATAATTTAATAAATTACATAAATTAACCAAAAGATATAAACGACTCATTAGTGGAAAATTGGTCATTTATATATTCTGCCTTATCCAGTTCTGTCTTACCAAACACTGAGTAGTTGTTTTGTCATGTCCTGTCCTATCCTCTCCTATCTTGTCCGGATACCAAACGCACGTTGGGTGTAAACTGGACTGGATTGGATGGACGAGAGTGAGGTAGGTAGGTGAAAGACTTGTGGAAGATTTTAGGGTTTTAATTTGACATGAGTAGTTTAGTAATTTACCAATCTTGTCCTTGTTTTTCGTTCCACCTATTTTGGTGGGACAAAAAATGCATTTTTGTCTCACTAGGGTCTTGTCTCAATCTAATCTTGCGCCAAATGTGAGACTACAAGTTTTTGTACCGTTCTATCCCGTTTGTACCAAACGCACCCTAACATAAATGGCACATACGTATATTACCTGGAAAGAACATTCTGTGCCATCAGGCAACTTATCATCATGTTTCAAAGTTACCATTATAGATTTGTCACAATCAACCTGCAAAATATAGGGTTTAGAAGAAACAAACACAAAAGTCCAACAAAAATTTACAAGAATATTTGCAATCTAGAGTTTAGATTGCAAGAATATGTAATCTCTGTGTGAGTGTCGGTGTGGGTGTATATATATATATATATATAGAGAGAGAGAGAGGGAGAGAGATGAATGGACCGCAGGTAGGTCAACATCTGTCGGAATGCGTTTACAGAAGTTCCCAGAATATTCTTGTACTTGAAGACCCTACAAAATTGAAAGGAGGAGCAAAAGAATGTGAGTTGATAAATTTTACCACTTGTAGAATCTATTATAAGAAAGTATAAAATCGAAGTTAATTTCTTTAAGGGACAGTAAATGGTCACCTGGCTGCATCTAACACGCATCACTGCTTCAAAACCTTGTGGCCTTGTGACATTCCATCGAAGATCGTTGTATAGTTTTGCAGGATCGGAAAGTGCAGAGAACGGATGATAATAGTATATCTGAAAGACGGGTGAAACTTAAATTCTAACAAAAAAGCAAGATTACCAATCTACCCGTATGGCAGAATAATGTCTCGATATGAAAATAAACTTAGTTAGAACAATTCACAAAATTGAAGCGATTGTATGAACTATTCACTACATACCTTCCCTCCAGTTGTCTTAGGGATAACCGAGATAGAAGCAATATCAACGTAACTTTGGGTAGTAATGAACACATCAACGGAGACCTGAATATAATTGGATCATATACTAATATGGTTAGCAGCCATCAAAGAAGAGAAAACTGTTTTTTTTTAACCATGGGTGTCTGGGCCAGCTTGTGCACACCTCGACTAATCTCATGGTGCCCTGAAGATAACAGTCAGAAAAATCTAGATGGCCCTGAGGAGACTCGAACTGGAGACCTAAAGGGTGAAGCCCCAAGGGCTGACCTATATTACCTAGGGGTGTTCATCCAAACCGTCCACACCGCACCACAGCACGGTTTGCATTTTTACCAAACCGCCTATGCGGTGCTTTTTGTGGTTTTGAGTTATCAAACCGTGGTTCAAACCGCATTGCACATTTTATATATATTTTATATTATATTTATATATTTTTAATAATTAGGCTAGCTTATGTAATTTTTTTAATTATGTAATATTATTATTTTTCTTACACTCTTTTTAATTATGTAAACTTTTTTAGTTTTATTAACCTTCTTAATTATGTAATATGTATTTGGGAATCGGATGTACTTAAACTTTTAATTTGTTTGGACTCTGGTCACGTTACTGTTTACTTTATAATAAAGTTTTGATCTTATAATTATTGGATTGTAGGTCTAAAGTGCGCTAGGTACAAAACGCATCGCATTTCGCAGTGCAGTTTTTTGCGGTTTGAGATATAAGCGGTGCGGTATGCGGTTTGGGAAAATACTCAAACCGCATATGAGATACAGTCTACAGTTTGGCCCCAAACTGCACCACGAACACCCCTAATTTACCAATTGAGCTGGCCCTCATGGTAGGAAAATTGCTTATTAGAGAAGCTTTACCTGGTACTCCGCAAATTCAATAGCCATTGTCTTCATAGTCTTGTCTACCGGTTGAAGTAATCTATGAGGTTCCTGCAGTTTAAGAATCAAAAAGAACCATCTGCATCTTAACCTCAGTTTTCATCAGTGTTCACCAAGTAAATTTGCAGGCAAGTAAATGTGTTGTAGTTCAGATGGGACCTTTCTCTCAAGGTTAAGTCTGCAATTACTTCTGTGATCTCATCTGGGATGATTTGGGTAGGGTAAAGGGCACTCTGAGTGGAAGAACCGGCCTTATCACAAGGAACCACTTGTAATACAGAGCATGAAAGGTTTTGTTTCAAATCTAATTTGGTGGGTGTGTAATATATTTACATGATCCAAAATCCATAATCTTTTTTTAAAATCAAATGCATAGATTCAGTTAAAAGATTTAACATTTAAATTGTTAGGATCCCATTTATATGATTTAAGTGGCCAAAGATCCCATGATCAGAAGTTTGCAAGCAAGCAACACATGCAATGACAAACATTTCAAAAACAAAAGTAGGCATTCGTTAAATAATACCTTATCTCCTGCGGATATATTAGTTCTTCCTTCAGCCTCTCTAGCGGAAAGAGCCGCAATACCGACAGAAGGCAAGACTGAAACATAATACAATTGTTAGATAATAGGAATGTGTTTCCCGCTTTAAGTATAGCAATATGGTCAGAAAGCTTGCCTGACTGAAATACCAAAAGTTTGCCTCCGGTACTCTTCATTGCCAGAAAAGCAGCCTGAGTGATACGAAAGTAACGATAAGCACAATTCACTAGATACCAAGATACATTATCCCTTCAAACCAAACTGCTAAATAAACCCGATCAAGTCACGTATAATACAAATAGATACCCACACTACCCACAAGTTATACAATCCCCCAGGGTGTGCCATGAGGATGCATTTGGTACATAAACAGGACTAGACAACACTGGAGTCTGGACAGGTGAGGGTGAGGTAGGCGAGCGGAAAAAAACTGTGGGAGGTTTTAGGGTTGTAATTTGACATGGTAGTTTAGTAATTTACCAATCTAGTCTCATCTTACTAATTTTTGTTCTACCTATTTTGGTTTTGTCCCACTCAGTTATGTCCTGTTCCGGTCTAATTGTCGCGCCACACGTGGGACAAGTTTTTGTCCTATCCTATCCCACATACCAAACGTACCAAACGCATACACTGGATAGGACAGTAGGGATTACTCTTCCACGTTTGGCTGAACTTTTATGTGTAACAAAGTGTAATAGGCGTGTTCCACGTCCACCCCATGGAATAAGGTGGTACAACCTCAAAATAAAACCTAATTCTCTTCTAAAATATCAAATACGCTCCCTCTTTACATTTTATTCATTCTTTAAATTTTATTTATTGCATTTTCTCCTCTTTAAATTTTCACTTTACTGTCCTCAAAATATTATTTTTATACAATTTCCACTTTAGATATTTAATAATAATAAAATAATATAGAAATTGTATAAAAATAAAAATTGGAAACTACATAAACTTTTTAATTTGATGTAATTTTAATCGTTTTGACGAAAACTTTCTAATGATATATTTTGTTATAAAAATATCTATTTTATTATAATCTAATAACTTACATAAATTAATCAAAATATATAAAGGATATGAACAACTCATTAGGGTAAATTGGTCATTTTATCCATTATGTCCTGCCCAGTTTTGTCTTACCAAACGTTGAACAGTTGTTCTGTCCTGTTCTGGTTGGATACCAAACGCACCCTAAATGATCACAGTGTTTATGACTTTTTATATTTTTATACATGCTCTTTATCTTCCATTTATGTACATCTGCCTCTCAAAAGACACCTTGCTTGCATAAGGGGGGCATTACAATCAAAAAGAAAATTTATTACCTTCATCCCGGCACCAAAAGCTGAATCAGCCGTCTTATTATTCTGGAACATGGTGGGGATGCTTTCCAGCAACAGGTCTAGATGTTGACGACACTGTAAGATCAACATGATGTGAAAATATAATCGGAATCAGTTCTCAATTTACATAAAATTAAAATGATGTTAATAATAATAAATAATCACATGCTAGCAAATGGAGAATTCAATAAGATTTCAACGACTTACCTCAGAAAGTGGAACAACAACATCAGTTTGGAGAGGAGTGTAAACATCTTCTACATCAGGAACTATGAGCATCAATGGCTGCAACAGCAAAATGCACAAGCTTGAGCATAAATATTAAATATTTCTCTTATTTTCTTTACATTTATTGCTCTTTGTCATCAAACCATTAAAACTTCAATTTATATCATATAATCTACTACTATAACTCCATGTTTCCCTGGCCCAAAGTTATTTTCATCCATCCTTTATGTTTAAAAAGCACAGATTTCGATTGAAAGTAAACACATTATAAATTTTAATAACTAGCAACTTAGATATTGTTACAGTGAGGAAAGTTCCGTTAGGAACCCCGGAACCACCCACAACACGCCACTTGTCCATCTTCAGGATGAATATTCAAATCATGAATCACACATGCATTCATGATAAATATGGACGTGCTATTCATCATGAATCACACATTCATGATGGATATGCTACAACATTCATGATGGATATGCTACAACATTTATGATGGATAGGACGTCCATATTCATGATGAATATCCACGTGTCGCACTGTGGGTGATTCCCTGGTTCCTAATCAATTTTAAGTTCCGTTACTTCTTTGATTCTGCTATCTCATATAATATCTCCAATGTTCCTAATTCTAGGATTCTGAGTGATTTACTTGTCAATCTTTTTAAACTTATTTGAACTATCTTCTACTCCTGTAGTTATCCTTTGCAACAACCATTAAAAATGCAATACCATCTAAGTCTATATATTTTCCTTATTCATTCTAACCATATCTTCGACATTAATGCAAGTATATAGATCACAAATATATACATCCTTGAAAGTTAAAAATCATTGTCATTGTAGTCACCTGTTGCAATGCACGTTTCAGATTGTAAAAATGGACGGTCGAGTCAAACGTAGCAATTCCCACGAATGTTCGAGGACCCTCCTGCATAAAAGAACAGATCACAGTTTCATACAAACTTCAAACTTCTTGTCAACAGGTACAATTTCAAGGGGAACCCATTGCTACAATCAACATAAACTTACTGGAAGATCGGCAATAACTCGGCTGATCGCGCTGCAAGCTCCTGCTGTCGCACCAGTTTGCACGGCGTTCATTGATACATCAATGAGGAAAAAGAATACAGCCGGCATTGGATCACGTACCTGGTAATAATACAAGAATATAGTGCATCAATTATATTGGTAAGTACATTGTTCAAGGGTATATTTAATTATCTTTTCTAAATGCACCAAATTTTACACTCGATAAACTTCAAATTCTTCGATTACCAATAGAGTGGCTAAAAACATGTAGAATAATAAAATGGAAGCTACCAATGATTCAAGACATTAGCAGTAACGCTAACCAGAAATTCCCGTGTAGCAACAAATTCAACTGTTCCTCTGCATAGCTCAGGCCTTTCATCTGCGTCTCTTCGCCTGCCATCTGGACCTAGATTGCACTGATAGTCACGGGGGGTTTCATCCGTGAAGCCTGAAAGAGAGTAGGATGTAAGCAGAGAGGAAGAACCAATACGTTCAACTAGCAAAAGCCATATCCACATTATTTATACTATTATTACAAAGGTGAGTAGTTGTTGATTGGGAATTAACATAAATATATATAGGGTCAGGTTCTGGAACTGAGGAACACCTTGGTAACCATTCATCTAGACAATATGCACATGTAAAGTAATCTGTAAGCAATTGTCCGGTACGCACATACATGTGCATAACACGCACACGTGTATAAAAACCAAGAAACAACTTCAATATCTTGTATGCACGTGTGCATACCGTCCAGGTGAACATTACCGGGGTGTTCCTCAGTTTTTCACTTTTCTAGGCTGAACCCCTCTCTCTCTCTATATATATATATACACACACACACACCATGTTGGCAGCCTGAAATAGTTGAATTGCACAACACTTCCACTTACTATCCAAACTGTGGAGCATTAAATCATGCTTAAAACATCAGAAAGTGTACATATTTTGGTTTATCAAGCTACATCTAAAAATTCATTTCTTCAACAGCCATACAACTTGAGAAGGTAACAGTTCTGATGACAAAATGAGTAGTATTAACAGCAAAATTTGCCTATAGCATCCTGTCTTTCCAACTACATCATGAGCAAAGGGTAGAACACAAGAGACATCAACACTCACCACAGAAGTTACAGATAAAACGTCTTCCCTGATCGACAAATTTCATAAACGGATTGATGTAGCCTTTGCAACGAGAACAACGAACAGGACCACCTTCACCAAAATCAACTATCTGAAAAATATTTCACATTTAGCATATGAGAAAAATAGTGATCCCTATATCTCAAAACTAGACCATCTTTGACTTGCAATAGTCAAAGGTTATATTTCAATTTTAAAACTTCCGATCATCCGATTAATGTTTGAGAAAATATAATAACTGCATTAAATCATAAAACAACTATAAAAAACTGTCCATCTTGTAAAGACCCTTATGCTAGCAAATTTACATATCAAGAAATCATCTAGATGTTTCAAGAAGAATGAAAAGCAAAAAAGAACTAGAAGAACTAAGAAATCCAAGACAAAAGAAAAAGTATATCATGCACATGATTGCTTATTTAAATAATCTAAAAATTCAGGATAAGCTCAGCAAGATGCTTTAGAAATTTAAAGTCTTACTTGAATAGGCTCCTCGGACGGATGAGGAAGGGCCAAGGGCTGGACCAACAGAGCCAATTGCATGCCAGAAGTGTTCAAAAGATCGGAAGTGCAAGGAATCTAAAGGACAACATAAATCAACATTAAAATAAGCAGCAATTATTTCAAAAGAGAAGTAGACGAAAGGAAACAAATATTACCTGATTAATAGTACTCCTCATGTACCGGGGACTGCAATTTCCAGTGTCCCTTGCAATAAATTCACTTGTAGCAGGCTTCGATATAAAATAACAATTTATAACATATCAGAAGATATACAATTAGTGCAACTACTTGCATAATAAGAGCCAAGAAAGATACTGTTAATGGAGAATACAAGAGAATAAAGACCAAAGGGCAGTATATACACACTGGCGAAAACTGTAGATTAAAAAACATTAAGAAAAGTTGAGATAAATACCGGCGGAGGATTGGCCTGGTTACCCTGGCGAGTTTCATGCAGAAGAACTGATGAACTTGGAACGGGACGTGGGATTTGGTTAGGATCAATCTTTGATGGTCCTGAAACAGCATTTCCACTAGGACCTGTTGCAGGCGATATCGTGGCCATAGATTGTTGATTAGGAAGAGGTGGTGGCATGCCAAACATTCTTGGTGGTTGAGCAGAACCAGAGATTGGAGGAGGTGGTGCATTCTAAAAATATTTATGAAATAACAACCTACTCTTAGCACCGAAAAATAAGGAATAAAAAAACAGCTTTGGCATCACCCAAAGTAAATTTTCTCTGAAACATGGTTATACAAGACTCTAGGTGATTTTAGTATACAAAGCAGTTTGTTTTCAAATCAGATCCGTCACTGATGATATGATGTAATACACTGTCGACAAAAACAATGCCATAATGAAAGCAACACCCTACACTAATCCCAACTCCCTAAAAGAATACCACATTATCCTAATTATTTGCTTTTTTTTCAAGTCTCGTCGCCACCATCACCTTCACTCACAAACTCTGCCTATGCTATCAGCCTTGCTGGAATATCTAACACTCTCTTCAAACCAAAGAGTATACAAATTTAGAGCTTTTGACTTCTAAACTAGCATTTCAAAAAGATAACGCTACATGGATTTTGTTACCAATTTGTCACCTATATTTTAAAATGTATTATGTGGTGTAAAGTTTAATGTCGCTATCAATATGTTAAAAAAACAACGGTTTGAAATCCAAAATAGTTTGAAATTGAGATGTAAATCGTTCGATTCTAAAAGAGTCAAAGTGTATCTTTGTTCTAATGGAGGGAGTAAGGAGTGTCTCAAATTTCTTGCAGCTGAAGATATTCCACCATATAAGTTACACAAGTATTCGATTTATAAAACGTCTTGGGCTAATGTTCATCCATTCCATCAATCCCAACATCCATGTACAAACATTAAGCAAACTTACGAAAGGCAAATGTTCTTATTGTCCCTCTTTGTACTGTTGAGAGCAAATGCCTAATTTGACATGTGAGTTTACATGATGTAATGTCATGGTTATTTATGCCAATACTCTTCATTTTACTCTTTCCTCTCTTCGCCTCCCAACCATATTGCTCTGTGTAGTGTCTCTAGAAGATGCTAAACTTGCATCATCTTTTCTGTATAGGATGTCCTCCCTTAGAATGTAAACTCCTTTAACTCTGCTAGTGTATGTTATCCTTTCTCAATAAGCTAATCTCATCCAGTTTATAAATCAGAAATAAGTGCTAGAAACACAACAAAATTATCTGCTCTACAATCCAAACTCCATGATAGCAAGAAATTGGAAGTTTCATGATAGTCTAATAGACCACTCGATACAGATTCGACTCACAATAAGAAATTAAAAGACAAACATCACGTTCCATCAGCGTCTTAAGTAACATTAAGATAAATGTTCCTAAAAAATTATAAACTTACTTGTCGTGATTGCATTTGCCATGGTTGAGCCCCAAACGGAGAACCTTGTGGATGAGGTGCGCCTTGTCCCTGAGCAGAAAATGGCGGGGGTCCTGTCGGGGGTTGCATGCCTCTTGGAGGTGCTGAGAAAGGAGGTACTGGCCCTCTTGGTTGATTATCAGCAGGACCACCAAGAAATGACGACATGGTTTGTGGAGCAGGTGGAGGTCCAGTTGACGGTCTTGGTCTAACATTGGCTGAAGGATATTGAGGGCCACCTTGCATGCTTTGAGATCCAAACGTCGGAGGCCCATTACTCATGGAACCACCACCTACGTTCGGTGGAGGACCAGGCGGACCACTGGTCAAAGGGGAGGACGCAAAAGGACCAGGAGGACCCACGGGTGCAGAAGAAGGTAAAGGTCCAGAGGTCAAAGGCCTTGAAGCAGGCATTGGAGGTGCATTACTACTAGAAGTACCTCCACCGCCACCACCAGTGGGACGGTTAGCCGCCATGAAAGGTGGCATTGAACCATGTGGGGGCCCACTAGATGGAGGCCCTGCCCCCCTAGGGGCAACACCGGGCGGTGGAGGTCCCGGACGACTAGGTCCAGAAAAAGGTGACGATGAATATGGACCTGAAGAAGGAAATGGCTGGGATTGGGAATTCGGTTGTTGCCCGAATGCCGGCGGTGGACCTCTAGGTCCATTCCCTGGGTACGGGGGCTGATTAGGGCGATTAATTTGTAGGTTATGCAAGTTATCAGCAATTGAATTAGGGTTATAATTCGGTGGGAGATTTCCTGGTCTAGGTCCACCTGGAGTTGCCATTCAAACGATCCCTAAAAAAAATCAAACCTCACTGTGTATATATATATATATATAATCAAAATTCCCACAATTTCATACTTACATAATCCAAAAGATTCAATTTTTACAGATCAGATATCAATAAAAACCAAAACCGTAATCAAAACCTCATCGATCGATAAAACTTATCAAATTATGACACAAATTCGAGAAGATCTGTAATTATTTCAGATGAATTGAACTAAAATATGACCAGATTGAGAAACACACATACCTGTAGTTGAATTCCAGTGATCAATCAAATCAGTGAAGTTGAAATTAGGGTATGGAAGAGGGAAAACGCACGAAATAAAACCTAAAGGCGATTGATCAATGGAGAATAGAAGAAGACCCAAAAGAGCTAACAAATTGTTGATGTTAATGGCTATAGATGGCACTGGTGCATTGGGCGAAAAGAGTCATCGTGCTGTATGGGTTGTACCATGTGCATCATATATGGTACTTTTATGGAGACTAGACCATGACCAAGGTTCGATAGGATTCAGGTGGGACTCCTCAAATAAATGTTCCCTTTAATTTAATGAATAGAAAATTACGTTTTTAGTTCCTATAGTTTATTAAAAATTAAGAATTTGTCCTTGGGGTTTAGAATTTACGGTTTTCATCCCTATGTTTGTAATTTATTATTATTTTTGTTTTTATGATTTACCTCGTAAGGGTGGAGACGCGTCTTCTATCATGGAACGCCTTTTTAAACATTGGTTGCAATTGAGGGTAATTTTGTCGTATCCGTCAATATATATTTAATGGAGTTACATTTATCCATTAATGGTTGAGTTCCAGTGAAAAAAGAAGTTGTGGTGAAAAGCGTAAGAAGAGATCTTCATCCTTGTATCAATCTTAATTGAATGTCAACACCGATGAGATGCACCACATCAATTATTTTCTAAAGTGCAATTCATGGATAAACATGAGATTAAAAGTGATCAAGTATTCAAATCTCTTTTTACGCTTCTTACATAATTTCTCTTCTCACGCTATATTTCCCCTACCCGTTACTATATTTATTAAAATTGTTATAATAAAAAAATAAATATTTTATTTCATTTTAAGTAATTATAGAAATAAAACACCTTTTATTTATTAATCTTTAGCAAGCATCCATGTCAAAATAAAATCGATTTTAATAAAAATAAATAATAGTTTATAACTATAGGGTATGATTCCATTGAGAATGAGAGTTAACATGAGAAGCGTAAGAAGGGATCTCCACCATTAGATGTACATTAAGATGCGATGTATCAGATCAATCCTCGTATCACGCGTGATTAATGAGTGAGTTTGAGATTAAAGGTGATCAAGGGTTCAGATACTTAAGGGGCTGTTTACCAAACACTTACTCGGTAAACACTTGTGGGTAAGATTTTAGTCTATCAAAACGGAATCGTATGCAACTATTTACCCGGTAAGCACTTACCATGGTAAGAGTGGTCGCCCTCAATATATTTAATACTCTAACAAACTCTCAAACATTAATTATATAATATAAAATAACAGTGCATACAGCTTTATTGGTAAAAGCAAAAAAAAAAATATGTTTATCTGTGTTTAAAACAAATTTTGGACAGTTCTCCAAATTTGAAGATTTTTAGACTTTTTTTTTGTCTTAATTTTTCTTTATGGAATAAATTTTACTAAATATGTAATTGGAGCAAAAATGACAATTTGCATGAAAAAGTAACGTATTTTTATTTTATTCCTATTTTGAGTAACGTACTTTCAAGACTTTCATTTTGATACCGAAAATGTAAAGTTTTAAACATTTAAATATTCAGGTAACCGGACATTAATGGTTATCATGCTGATGTAGCGAATGATGTGGTATTCAACTCAATATTATCTGTTATTCCACCCAATTCCATCTCATCACTCGACACATCAGCATGGTAACTGATTGATGCTTCAACCTGTTACCCGAGTACTTAAATGTTTAAAATTTTACATATTAGGTACCAAAATGGAAGTTCTGGTAGTACGTTACCCAAAATAGGAATAAAGTTAAAATACGTTACTTTTTCATGCAATTTGCCCGAACAAAAAAAACCATTACGAAATCTTTATTCTTTTCATTTTAAAGAATCTGTTCGAGATGTCCTTAAAATATCTCCAATCTGTTATAATCTCTCTGGATGGAAAAACAACAGTTAAAATCTCAAAAAAAAAGGGAAAAGTACAATAAAAACCAATGAACTTTCTTGTTTGGAATGATTAAGTCCTTGAACTTTTTTTGGAACAAATAAGTCTTTGAACTTTCCAAAACATGTTAAATAAGTCCTTGGACAATTTTTTGGCACAAATAAGTCCTTGAACATTCCAAAATATGTTAAATAAGTCCTTAAACATTYCAAAAAATGTTAAATAAGTCCTTGGACAATTTTTGGAACAAATAAGTCCTTGAACAATCCAAAACATGTTAAATAACTTCTTGAACTTTTATAAAACATGTTGGATACATTCTAATGACTTGTACAACTAGTTAAAATGGTAATTATTTTTTTGTAAATGTAAGTACCTTTTTGTTATATTTGTTTAATTTTATAGATCTAAATACTTTTTGGTTCAAAAAATATTTAGGGGCTTAATCGTTCAAAATATAAATGTTCATTGGTTTTTTTTCGGATTTTTTTCACTATTTTACCACTTTATTTTTTTCAAAAAGTTATTTAACATGTTTTGGATTGTTCAAGGACTTGCTTAACATTTTTTGGAATGTCCAAGGACTTATTTGTTCCAAAAATTGTCCAATGACTTATTTAACATTTTTTGAAATGTCCAAGGACTTATTTGTTCCAAAAATTGTCCAATGACTTATTTAACATNACTTATTTAACATATTTTGGAATGTTCAAGGACTTATTTAACATGTTTTGGAAAGTTCAAGGACTTATTTGTTCCAAAAAAAAGTTCAAGGACTTAATCATTYMAAACAAKAAAGTTCATTGGTTTTTATTGTACTTTTCCCAAAAAAAATTATATTCAATTCCAAGAGATTCTATATTTTATAAATTTGAATATTAATTATATTATTTAATAGATTTAATAACTCAATAAATTTTATATGAAATAATAATACATTCAATTTGACAGATGAAACAATAAGAAACAATTCGTTTCTTTATAACATTTAATTTTAAATTGTTTTCCAAATTTAAAGATCTTCGTAATCTTTTTACTACTTTATATACTTCAAAGAAAAAATATTATATTATAATATAATTTATCAGTTATTTTTTACCAAAATAACCCAAAATCAGATAAATTTCTAAGAGTGATGCAATATGTACCCCTACATAAATCCAAATCAGATTAAATCGTACGTTAGAAATATAAGAAAAGATTTTTAATGTTAACGCATGTGAGGGGGGTTTTAAGATATAAGGATGCCTTTAGCTACCACTTATTTAAATAATGGGGTAAGCTAAATGCATCCCTATATATTAATAATTACACTTCTTACCTATTAATTTACTTTTCATACACATCAGTATCAATAATTAATTTTTACATTTTTAATGCATGATTTAACCTGATTCTAACGTAAAAGGGATCCATATAACATTCCCCTTAAACACCGTATATTTTTATGGGAAATTGACCAAATATCTTCCATCAAATTCATTTTTTTGTAAATTTTTTCAATTAAGTTCCCATTTTAACCAAATTTTACATTAAAAAGTTACGAAAATTTGTGTATTTTGTGCAGGGATCTTCATTTGTGTACAGATTTTTTTTAAATCTGAAAATAGGCCTTACACAAATGCGTAAAGTATTTATGTAAATTTTGGCTAAAATGAAAATTCGACATCAGAACTGGCGAATAAGAGCATCTCTAACAGATTCTACAAAATGGGAAAATAAAGATTTTGAATTAATTTTATGCTCCAACAAAATCACTAAAACTATCTGCAAAATTGAGAAAATAGATTATAATAAGTTTTTTTTTTCTCCAAATATAAAAACACCAGAAATGTTTATCATGTGAGAGAAATATTTTATATTTTCTTAGTAAAAAACTTTATAAATAAATAAATATTTAAAGAAAATAATATTTTAATAAATAAAAAATATTTTAATATTATTATTAATATTGGATTTTTTTTATTTATTTATAGTTTGTTTGACAGTTACTGAATGGTTTGATACAGAATGATTAAGAGGCTTTTATGATATATTACAAAATAAAATATAATTGTTTGGTAATTGTTTACAATGAAATTATGACACTTAATGGTTAAGGGAGACTCAAAATACAAAATCATTCATAGAGTTTTAGAATCATTAAGAGACATATTTTTTTTTGCCAAATAAAATTCACCTCTTAATGATTTAGATGCTGTCTTTTGATGGAACTATTAGCAGGTAAACAAAGAACCCCTTAAAAAATAATATAATTTATTTTTTAGAATTATTTTAAAAAGTGAATTTGGTGAATAGAATTATCTATTTTAGTCTACTTTTACTTTTTTAAATTATTTTTAAATGTTTATTTTTAGGGAGGGAAAAATTGTTTAGGTGTGTGCAAACCTACACTACGACTACGCCATATCATCCACACTCCATTGTTTTACACGTGTCACACTCCTGCTGCCACCCTGTCACTTTCTCACTTTTTAATTTTCCTCAGTTTTTGTCCTCATCTGTCTTTTTCTACATGATAATCCATATTAGTACAGTAGTCGTACACGCATATCATACTACCCCCCTCTTTCTCTCTCTAAAACAGATTTAATCTCTCTTTCTCTCTCTATACGTATAGGTCTATCTCTATTTATATCTATATCTATATCTATATCTATACGTTCATGTGAGTGAAGCGGCCATTGATGCGTGTGTGTGTGTGAAGGAAAAGCAGAGAAACTTACATTTTCGTATTCGGAGAAGGAATTAATGGAGGATAATAATGGGGGAAGCTTGACCGTCGACAACGGAGGTGATTTTAAGGCGGAGAGCGTTAGCGAAGAGGTGGTGGAGAGCATGGTGACGTGGTTGTTCTCGATGGATAATGACGATGACGACGGAGATGATGATACGGAGCTATCGAAGGTTCTGGAAGCTTCGGCGGAGAAGACGTATCAAATGAAGGTGAAGATCATCGACAATCCGCCGTGTTGGCATCCGTTGATTTTTCAGACGGCGGCTTCTTACATTACGATTAATGGTAATGAGGAGTCGTGTGGTTCGTCGTTTTCCGATTCAGATACTTCGTATATGGCGGGAATAAGTGGCGGTGGTGGTGGTTGGGCATTGGTGGTTGGTGACGGTGGCGCGTGGGATGGTGTGGTGGAGGAGACGCGTGGGTGGATAGAATCGGAGGATGATGGGAATTGTTTGGTCAATGGTTCGACTGGTGGTTACTGTGACGATGACATGCTGGCGAAATTTCTCGGTGATGGTTTTGAGCAGACGCGATGACGGTCACGCGCCGCCGTGGTGTTTTTGGGGTTTTAGT